ATAAAGTCATTCCAAGGTCTGATGATGAATTACGGGACAAGTTAAAGTATTCTCCCACTGGTTTTTGAGTATTTTGATTCCTGATGTCAGATTTGTGTCCATTAATTCTTTTGCGTAGAGACTGTCCGGTTTGGCCAATGTACATGGCAGAGGGGCATTGCTGGCACATGATGGCATATATCACATTGGTAGATGTGCAGGTGAACGAGCCCCTGATGGAAAAGGAACTGTTGGCTGTAGAACTCAAGAACACGAGGCGGAAGGCTCTGCCCCACGCACTCCGGGGTGGGCGTCCTGCTCACAGCTGTATGACTATGAATCCTGCTTGTGGCATTTTCCCTAATTAATGTCCGGTGACTTCCCTCCTTTCATTACAAGTTTCTTTGCTGCACTCAGACGCTGTGCTTGTGAGAGGGGAAGTATGGCCTCGCAGAGGTGCCCAGGATGGTGTGTAATTTTCCCAGGTTACTGTGGTGGGGCTCGAGCTGGTTCTGTGTCATATTGTTAAAGAGGATCCCCTAGATATTGAACCCGGCCCTGGTTGCTGCCGACTCCACCTGGCAGAAGGGTCACACGTGCCATTACCCCATCGCTCTGGGCACTGGCTCGCCCCCACTCCTGTTTCTCAGCCAGTGATCCAGCCCCTGCTCCCAGCACTCGAGCTGCTGGCCCTTCTGGCGATGGTGATGTAGCCTGATGCACCAGCACGGCCAGTGCCTGGGAATAGCCCTAGAGAACGGCCTCCATGTTTGTAGGGCCAGGCAGAGAGCGGCGTGGGCTGCCCTCTGCCCAGGGCCTCACCTGCAGTGGAAGCCAATGGCTGGATGTTAATGACAATACCAGTCCTACCGAACTCCTCTGTAGGCTGGCACCCAGGACCGTGAACCTCCTGCCAGGGCTCAGAGGGGTCATAGTCATCTGGGGCGGGGGCTCAAGGGGCAGGACACTGGAGAAATGGCTCACACAGCTGCCATGGGTGCTGGGCATTTCCTCTCCACCTGGCTTGCTCTGCCAGCCCGCCCCGCCAGCCACGGTCCCTCTCTTCTGGCTGCTGTGCCAGCCGCTCGTTCCACTCCCACCGGCCGCCTGTTTGCTGCTTCTGCAGGCTGACTGTTCGCTGTTCCCGCCAGCTGACTGTCAGTTATCTACTGTTGCCACCTCTCTGCTGTGACCTCTGCAGGTCAGTCTCTTAGTGAGTTTCAGCTTTTAGCAGGCTGGGCAGAAACACTGACCCACCACCAGTGAGTTCAACTCTCATTTAAACACTTAAAATAACAAAGGCTCCTAATGTGTGTGCCGGGAGCCCCTGAGGCCTATTTAGCTCTGTCTTTGAACAGTGGGGAGAAACAGGTTAAACCAGATGGGGGACCCTTGGGGAGAGTCCACACCTCCTGGCTGGGACACCATCCCCACCCCTCTTACTCGCACATGGCTCTGGTATGCAAGCCCCTGGCTTAGCGAGGTCCTTTCAGTTGAGGTGACCCCCTCATTTGGGACAGGTAAAGCACAGTCCTGGTCCCCTTTATTCATGCAATAAAGACGACAACACTGATAACATTTCACTACCTACCCCTGCAGTCAGTGCTAAAGTGATTTGTAACCCAGCACCAGTCAAAGGGGATCACTCTGAGCAACAGGCCTCTAGCTGCTGGATATCTTGGCAGAGTGGGTGTGTTCATGTCAATACAGTTTGCTCCGGAAGTCTCTGCCCCTCCCAACTAGCTGTCAGGGGAGAGCTCCTTCAGACCCTGCTTACACACGCTTGCTCCTGTCCATGGCAGCCTGGGGGTCTCTGCTCTCGCTGTCCATCACTTTGTTGTTTGTGAACCGTGGCCATTTCACTCCCCCAGTGCTGCGGGAGCCAGCCAGGAATGTGCCTGACCCACCCCCGAAGCTCAGACCAGACCCACAGGTCTCTGCCTGGCTCCCATCTCTCCCTTCCAGAGCTCAGCACCTGTGGGGTGTGGCTGGGGTCCAGAGCAGGAACCCCAGAGAAAGCCTTTCCCCCTGGGATTCAGAGGCGGGTCTCACGGGCACGGGGTCTGGTCGCTCCAGTGGGGATGGGAAAGCAAACCAGAGTGTGGGAAGGGAGCAGGGTCAATCGGCTCACACCCCCAGGCCTCCACCAGCATTCCCCTCTCCTGCCCAAAGCGACAGTCCAACAGCCCCAGGTTCTGCGGGGAGTCTCAGGGTGGCAGAGCCAGCCTGCCACTGTGGGGCGAAGCCGTGTTTATCCAGCCCCAGGGCACGGTCTGCAGCTCACTGCGCTGGGGAGATGCTACGAGAGGTGGGGCTAAAGAGGGAACATGATCCTCTTGTAGCGAAGGTCCTGTGGGGCGGGGGACTGTGATCCTCGGGATCTGGTGTCTCCAGCACACGAACAGCTGCTCTCTGGAGCCCAGGGACTATGTGGCAGCTCAGGCTCTAGTGACACTGCCCAGTGCCTGCCACCCCCAGGAGACCCCGTCTCTCCAGGGGCTTTAGCCTGGGGCACAGGCTCCAGCTGCAGGGGCGGACATGCAGGGACAGTGAGGCCCAATCCAGGAAATCACAGGGAGACCAGCTGAGCTGAGCTCTTTATTACACAACCCATGTGCTGGGCGAGATCAGGCCCACGGACGATTCGGGGTTGGTGTCAGGTGGGGACTGTATTGGAGGATCCTGTCCCATCCCCCCACAGGCCCTGCTGTCACGCTCTCGGCTCTTCCCGGTCTCGCTCTGGTCGGCTCTGAGGAAAAAGGGGCAGTCGGTCAGGCCAGGGGCTGGTCCTGAGGCTGGGGGGCAGGGAGGGAGGTGACAGGAGCGGCTCTGCCTTTCACAGCCTTGAGGGGGGGTCGGGGGCACGGCTGATGCGGCTGCACCCGGCCCCTCCCGGGCAGTCGCCGGCCTTGCAGCAGGGCTCAGTGCACGGGGCTGGCTGACCTCGGGAGCCGCCACTGGACAAACTCCATGGCACAGAGCAGCCCCGGGGAGGAGGCAGGAGACCCAGCTGGCCAGGCCAGCAGCGCCGATATCACCCCAGAGCAGTCCTCTCCCCATCTCCACGCCAGCCTCCCGCAGCCCTTCGCCTCCTCCCCAGAGAGCTGGGAGCTCCGTGGGGGAGAGGGCAATGTGCACTCCCAGCTTCCGCCCAGACTCCAGGCCTGGGGGGAGCCGGGTCACTCGGAGCAGGTCTGTGATGCTGGGGCCCTGGCCCAGTCTGCGTGACCCCGATTCCTCCCAGCGCTCAGAGATGGGGGCAGGGAGCCCTGGTGCCTGCTGATCAGAACGGCCCCATGCAGCAGGAGGCAGGGCTCGCTCTGCAGAGCCCGAGCACTACGCTGAACCTCACCTGCTGTGGGGTTTGGCAAGTCCGGCCACACCCATTACTGCAGCACTTTTCTGCTCCAGCACAGTCGTCATCACTGAAGCAGAGCAGAGCACAGATCCCCATGGTGTCTGGGGGGAACACGCGACAGAACCCGGGTTTCTCTGGAAGACAGAACAGTCCCATGGCAGTGAGACGCCTGGCTGATAACAAATCCCAACAGCTGCATGTGGGTCTGAGCGGGGTCCTCAGAGGAATGGACGAGCCCTGGAGACAGCAGTGACAGATTAGATATCAGATGGAAAACTGCCCCCACGCCTGCGCTCAGGGCACCTCTGGCCTCCTGCCCTTGAGCTAGGGGTCCCCGTCCAGTCCCTGTCCAGTCCCAGTCTCACCGCGAGCTTAGCGTAGGGAGGGGTGTCCTTCCAGGAGAGAAACCTCCATTTCCAGCTTCAGCCACGCTCTCCAGGGCCAAGCCCCCGCGCAGCTCTAGGGGTTAGGAGAGGATTTCTGTCCAAGGGATTCCAGCGAGGGAAGGTTGGATAAACACGGCACTAAGGGATGCAAAGGGAGGGGCCGAGGGGCAGGACAGCCGACAGGAGCGAACATCTCTGTAGTTATCTGTGAATCCTACACAGAGTTCAGATCTAACATGCTGGGCTGATGAGAGATCCTGTCTGTGCCGCGCCCAGCACCTTTGGGGGCCATAACAGTAACAGCGTTTCCAGTGTGTGCAGAGTGGCGAGCGGGAGGGCCAAGGGCTCGTCACAGCTACGCTCTCATCCCAGCAAAGAGGCACCTCCCTGGGTAGCCGTTTATTCCGTATAACAATAGGAGAAGGGGAGCAGTTGCTTCAGCAGCTGAACGCCCAACGGCCTCAGGAAGGGGCCGGTCAGTTCCTGTTCCAGCGCGAAATGTAGCAACAGGAGAGCAACTGAGCAATGTGGCAACTACCTGCTCAGGTCAGAGCTTTATACCCCCCACACCCGAACAAAGCCAGGTCGGTGTGACACTGGCAATCCAGAGTCCCCGTGTCTCAGTGGAACAGTGACAGACACACCGTGGAATCAGTCTGGCTCACCTGGGCGTTAGTATTGTTAAAACAGGGATCGGAATGATAGGAATCTGTTAGTGTTTATTCTTTATTGAATGCTGGTGTGTTGCTGCCTGCATTCATCTCACTTACAGCGTCTCTATCCCATAGTGTAAGGTAACATGTGAGCGGTTGTATGGTGAGTCTCTGTGACTGCGTAACTCGCCAGAGGGGAGAAAGAGACGAATTAGTGTGAATGGCTGATCTCCTGCAGAAGGTGTTATGTCCTGCCCAACGGGAAAGGGCCACTGACACCAGACGGACTACTGTGGGACATTAAAGAGGACAAAAGATGTTTGTTGTTTTGCCCTCCCCACCCCTGTGAAGATGAGTCGTGCTAGTGGATTCCTCCCATCACCGAGTTTGCAGCTGAGATCACAAGGACGGATGGGGATAAAACCCCCAAACGAAGGAACTGATGGTCACTAGGCTGCTCGGACTCTGGGGTGGGCAGGTTTCTAGGCATAAGCAAGAGATCCACATCTGCTCAGCCGGGGTGAGTCCTGAAGGGCATGTAGCGTTTGCTCATGACAGAAGCTTCTATTTCCTTGTGAAAGTTGAGATAGTAACTCATTTGTGCGTCTATGTTTACTTGCTTTAACCTTGTAAATAACTCTCTGGTTTCCTTTTCCTAGCTAATAAATCTTTAGATAGTTTATTATAGGATTGGCTAGAAGCCTTGTCTTTGGTGTGAGATGTGAGGTGCGATTCACCTAGGTAGGTGACTGGCCCTTTGGGGCTGGGAGTAAGCTGAATATTGCTGTGATTGGTGGTGTAAGGAACCAGCTATCACAAAGGTACACGCACCTGGGCGGCGAGACAGACCGGCGTACCCAAGGGGCCTGGCTGGGACGCCCTGGTTAGGCTGTTATGGTGCCTGAGGAGTTCACACTTAATAACTGGTTGGTGACACCTAGGTGCAGAACTCACAGCCAGTTTGGGTTTGTGCTCTGGTTCCTAGCAGTGCCCCGAGGCTGGTTCTCACGCTCTGGGGGCACTGCTGGAAGCGGCACAGGTGGGATTTGACTGCCAGAACTAGCAATGGGCCCTTGTATTTAGTCCATTTCCCATCGCAAACAGTGCCGCAAACTCCTTCAGCGCTACAAGAACAGCCCCTAGTGTATTTCCAGCACTGTCCCTCTGACCTGGGCAGTCATGACCCACCTAAGGCCACATCTACACCGGCAACTGTGACGGAGCAGGGAGCAGGGCAGATTTGACCTGGGAATGTTGCAGGGGGGTTGCAGTGGGGATGTGGGACTTCCCTT